TTTTTTAAATCTTCAATAGCTTACAAATGGATTTGAAAGTTTCTCTCTTTTCAAAACGATCAAATTTCGTGTTATCTTTTGGCTAACTGTTTCTTTTATTGGAGAGACAGGTGCACGCGTCCGTTTGCATCTGCATCCGAATTGAAACTGAGTTTTGGCCTTGCTTAACGGCTGATAGTAGAGGAGCAGCAGCAATGGCAGTGAAAGCAGCGCCAGCAGCGGCAGCGGTCGGCAGCAGCTTCGTCTTCGTGTTCTTCGAGTTCGTGACAGCGAAAGCCGAAGCTGGCCAAACAGCTAGCCGAATACTGGCGACTGGCGTATAAGTGAGAATGTTTTGGGTAATTTGTCTGTGAGGGAAATTTGATAAAAGCTAGATTTCCCCTTATGCAAGTGAGAACAGTGCAGAAAGCTAATGTTTAATATGTATTAATTTTATAAGTTAATTATATGTAGTACAATTGTATCTAATAATTTGATGTGTAAATTAAATTGTTTATACAGTTAATATAACATATTTATATTTAATTTCTTGGCTTACTGCCTGCATAGGTCACAGAATTGTACCCAACTCGATTAGAAACTGTTCTCGAAACAGTATTTATGCCGGCTGTTCTCAGCGCTCTTATACTGCCCCAGCTCTTCGAAATTGCGCTCGTCGCGAATCGCTGACTGCGCTGCCGACGCCAACGCGAGCTGTGTCGGCAATTTTTCAGCGAATTACAACGCTTGACGATGGGCTCGCAGCCACGTGCTGCCGCTGCTAGCGTCGCTAACTGCCGTTAGCTAAGCACTGAGTATTATAGCTGCTGCGCTTGCTGCCAGCTGTTTGTTGTTGTTCTTGCTGTTTTCTTTTATGCCGCTGTCGCTGCCGCTTATCAGTGGGCGTCGTCGTAGGCAGCGCAAAACAACGCTACGTCCCGCACATCTGGCCTCGCTTCCTGCTATCTCCTGACCCCCTCCCCGCACCCAAACGCTGTTCGTCATGTGCCTTGCGCCTTGCGAGAAAACCTTTGATATAAATTCTTATTGGCGCATTACAAATTGTCGTCTTCGTTCTGCATGTGTGAATGGCGCTGTGTTTGCGTGTGTGTGTGCGAGTGTGTTTGTGTATATAATGTAATCACTCACATAACGCAAACATGTTCAATCACACACAATGACAGAGTGAGAGAAAAAAAGAGACAGATAGAGCGAGACAGACATTTCGCTTATTGTTTGTTTTGTCATTAGATTTTGCGCATATTTTGACGTAATTAGATTTTCACCTCATTTGCATACAAATGAGGCCAAGCACAAAAATCAAATAATCCAAAACGGCAAAAAATGTGAGTCAAGAATCGTGTTTTACACACATATTTTCACGCTTTCATTGTCTTCTGATATTTCATTGTTTTCGCGTCTGATGAGGCCCGCGAAGCAGGCGCAATTGCTTGTATTCATAAATTAGCGGCTAATCAACTGGCTTTTGTTTCTTTCAGCTGTGACAGCTATTAGCGATCCTTCCCACTCTCTTCTCTACAATCAGTGTTGCCTCCACTAAACTCATATTTAACGGACCGAACTCAATTCACTTTAATATTAATTATGTGCAGCATCTCCATTCACCTGTCGCGAATTAAACTTTACTCCCATTCGAAACTCTTCATATTTCTCAGCTTATTCATGATTACTCGTTATATTTACTCGTCAGTTGTCTCTCGTCATTAATTGTTACTTGTACGTTCTCTTCGTCCCTCTTCGCACCTTTCTTATTACTCTTTACTATCTACTTGTTACTTTCAACTCGGTATTATTAATTTCATTACTCCCCACTCGCCACTCGCCACTCGTTACTCGTTACTCGTAACTCTTTATTATTTTCTACACTATTATTTCCATTCGGTGCGGTAGTATAAAGTACACACTATTTATTAGATACTCACCTCTAAAAATTCATCACTCGTCCCTCTTAGCTCTTCACTCGTCACTCGTTACTCGTTACTCGCTATTCGCCACTCGTTCTGCTCTTCTCACCCTTCTTCAACCATTCACTTGTTGCTCTCTTCTCGCCCATCTCCATTCGTCAATGGTTACTTTCCACTTGTTATTCCTCACGCTCCACTGATTATCTACTCGCCACTCTTCATTTCCCACATTTACATACCTATTAGCATAATTTAAACTATTGAATTCGTTTAATTGAATCACATTTAATTCAATCATATATCTAGAAACACTAAAATCAATAGACCTGAATAGAGAAATTAAAAAATATTTATATATGTGTGTATGTATGTACATCGATGCAATCAGAGCGTAGAGCTGAGCTAATTTAATTCAAATGTCTCAGTTCAGTTTGAATGGCGTCTCGCTGCATTATTAAATGCGCGCCGTAATTCAATCGAAGACCGCAACGCACCATTCAGACGCTCGCCCACCTGAAATGGCCCAAACCCCAAATGGGCTCCCCATCCCCAAAACGCGGTCCGCAGAAACCAAATCCAATCACTTGACATTACAATTGGAAGCCAAGTCTGACGCGCCCCAAGGTTCACGCAACAGCAACAACAACAACTATTTCCATAAAGTGTAACGTAACGTTCGGAATTGAATTTGAAGTGCTCTATTTCGATACGATTGGGGAGTCTATGTACATAGGATATTATCTATATGATCTATGTGATGTGTGCCATCTATATGTTCCATATGGCTTATATGATCTATAAGATCTACATGATCTATATGTTCTATATGATCACTATGATATATGTATATGATCTATATAATATATGTATATGAGATATATCATCTATATAATCTATTTAATCTATATAACCTATGTGATCTATATGATCCATATTATTTATATGATCTATATGATCTACATAATCTATATGACCTATATGAATTATATGATCCATATCATTTATATGTTCTATATGATCTTTATGATCAATATGATCTATATAATCTATATGATCTATATGACCTATGTGATCTGTATTATCTATATGAACTACATGACCTGCATGATCTACATAATCTATATGATCTACATGAACTATACGATCCATATCATTTATATGATCTATGTGATCTATATGATCTATATGATCTACATGATCTATATGATCTATATGATCTACATGATCTATATAGTTTATATGATCTATAAGATCTATATGATCTATATATTCTATATAATCTCTATATATCATTTACATAATTTATATGATCTACATGATCTCTATGATATTTATAATCTACATATTTTCTATGACTTTTACAATCTCAATTATTCATATGATATGCCCATTATCTATGTGATTCAGCATGCTCTAAGTGCAGTTGTACACCCGTAGTTATCCTACATCCACATATGCTTTAATAGGGTATCTGCTTATCGATCACTCTCCATTGCACTCTTCTGCAATTCGGCATTGATTAAGGCCGTGCGCTGAAGTATGCTAGAGGAAAAAATTTTGGTTTGCCCTTTGCCAACTGGCGTCTGGCGCTTGTTGTGGCTGCCAGCTTACACCTAGCACACTCACACACTGTCACACACACACACACACACACACACACTATCACACACAGAGAGCAGCGTCATTGAATGCAATTGAATTGAATTCGTGGCAGTTTTAATGTAATTAGTTTTTACACCTTGCCAAACAGACACGATTGCTGCCACAAGGTGGGCGTGAGGGGTAGGTGGCTGGAGCTGGCGTGGGTGCTTGTGCAGTCTGCTGAATCCTTGAAGTGTAAAGCAGACCCCCCCCCACACGGCCGCCGCCCCTTTGTCCGCTAGCGTTTTCTAATTAAAAACGCCAACGGCAATTGTTATTGGCCGCGGCTAATTGGCAACAAGATAAATCGCTGTTGCAATTTGCCGCCGCGAATTATGCGACAGCAACAATTTGGGGGCCAAGGTCCCAGCAGCAACTAGACAATATCATCGCTCTACCTTCCCCTTCCCCTCTCTTCCCCTCTCTCTCTCTCTCTCTCTCTCTCTCACCTCTCGCTCTGCTCGTGGCAAGTGCAAAGCCAATTGGAGTGTGGCTCATAACAAGTTTTTCTCATTTTTACGACTTATTGGTCTCGCATTAAAGCTAGCAAAAGGCGGCAGGGTGAAGCCTGGCTGAGGAGGGGAGGGGCGGCGTGGCAGGTGCTGTGTGGTGCTGCAAGCGTTGCCAAGCGAATTTGAAATTAATATAACTAAAAGGTTTTTGCACGCTGCGC